AGACATAATAATAAATAATAATAAAAAGAATTAAAACCCAAATATATACAGACATAATAATAATAATAATAAAAAGAATTAAAACCCAAATATATACAGACATAATAATAATAATAAAAAAAGAATTAAAACCAAATATATAGACATAATAATAATAATAATAAAAAGAATTAAAACCCATAACAGACATAATAATAATAATACTAAAAGAGTTAAAGCCCAAATATGGATGCAGCTCCTGAGAGTGAGAGATGGATCGCCCGGCACTTGGGTTGAGAATTTATGATGATCTGAAGTAGGATTGAAAAGCTGGAGCGACGCTAATAAAATCCTAAAAATAATATGAAGGCGACGGTCTAAAGAGTGACCTATTTTTGTGCTAATAGAAAAAATATAAATGAATAGATGGAATAAAAAATGTAATAGAAATAAAAAAGTGAATGAATAAAAGGTACTAATATCACTTTTGTATAAGCCGTTTTACACATATCTAGATTTCCACAGTTTGTGCAAATGTGTGCGTAGATTGTGGTATGTGGGCGTTTTTCTATAAATGTATATGAAGGTTTGTGTGTGCGTTTTCTGTACACACACATGACATGTGAATCATCTGTAGCCTAGGAGTTTGCCAAAAAGAAGTGGCACACACGCGCGCACGCACACGCACACGCACACACACACATACACACTCACTCACTCACTCACTCACACAGTTACTCTCTCACTCACTCACACAGTTTTACTCTCTCACTCACTCACACAGTTACTCAAGCACACACTCACTCATTCATTCTCTCACTCACATCAATTACTCACTCACACTTACTCAAGCACACACTCACTCACTCACTCACCCATTTATCCTCTCACTCACACGCACGCACACATACCTAAACATAAAGACGAATAAAAAGATAAAAAAGATTGTTCTAATTAGGCATTATGTTACCACGGGAACAGTACCGCCGCCGCTTGTTCCTGGTGAAACTTTATTTATAATTCCCGTGATTGTGTGAGCTTTCTAATATAGAGATTCGTTGTGTGATCTGGTTCGTTTTATTTTCAAAAATGGAAGGTTAAATAGAGAGAGAGAGAGAGAGAGA